GTCGAAAGCCAGGTTCGTGGTGTACTCATCAATGTTGAAGGCCTCTCCAGAAGCAGCTTTCTCCTCCATAAGATTAATGAAAAGCTCCGTCTTGTCCAGAATGACCTTGACCAGGGAAAGCAGATGCTGAGGTTGCATGCCGGGCAGAATTCTCTTGCGAAGGCCCTTCCATTCCTCGCCGTCAGTGGTAACAAGAGATCGCGCTCCGACCAAAGGAGCAAGATCCTGCATGGCTGGGTGCTTGGGGACACTGGTGCTGTACTGCTTCGTGGGCTTGGTGACCTGCTCTGCGACATCGTTATTGAGAATGAAGAGAATCATGAAAGACTCCATCGGGCGCCAGTCAACCAGGAGAACGGGAGGGAAGCCAAGCTTCTGAGCTTGTTCGTAGAGGAGTTCATCTACAAAATCATTCATGTTAGCGACTCTCGAAGATGCTTCAGTGTTCGCCATTCGCTAGCAATCGGCGATGGCTGCGCGCAACGTACCGAAAGACCTTCGAGGGTCGCCCAGCGCAGCGGCCTTCTCGATCCATGGCCAATGTCCTCTGTTCGGGTCGGCCTCCTCAGGTTGCGGGAAATGTGAAAACAGCTTAATGTCGAGGGAGTCAGCCTTCGACCTCCTAAGGTAGAAGACCACGGCGAGCGGGATCGCCGCCAAGATGAGAAGCTTCCATTGCAGGAGGGGAGCTAGAGAAGCCGCGTCGAGCTTATTGAAGACGCTGAGCAAAGCCATCTTTCAATCTGGGGGAGCTGCACCGACAGCTCGACTTGCCCGCGAATGAATGAGAAACGGTGGCTCAGGATGGAATGCCCAAACTATCCAAAATTTCTGGCTGCGCCATTTTTGGAGGGGTACAGCAGGTATATATTGGCCGATAAAAAAATAAACCACCCATGTAACTGTGTGCTTATGACGAGCGTCGCACCGGGCTCCGACGATCGTCCATCGTCGGTAATGCCACCCTAGTCGATGTGCCTTGACGAGGGTTCTTCAACAGCAACCCATGCGAAATGGTGCTGTACGTACTGGACAACAGGTACAAACAGTTCTCCGGCTGCGAGTCCACCATTTGCCCAGACAAAATTTCCTGATTGGAAAGAAGCGTCAGCATCCCCTCCTCATTGAGCAGCTTGCCCGCACGCCGAGTACATCTGGCAGTTGACGGGAAACGCCGCCCATTGCCGTGGCTGGGGGAAATGAACAGCCCACTACCCGTTGAGGGGTTCATCCATCCCGCTTTCCAGTTAAATTGCGGTTAAACCGACGTAATGCCAAGCCCCGGTGTGGATGGACCTGTGGGTGGAAAATTCTTCAATGGCGAGACTCTGCGATGCAGCTCCTCGAATCAGATGCATCTCATCTAATCTGATGGCATCTTATCTGATCCGATGTACCCTCCGATGTTACCTTCCTCATACAAAAGCGGGTCATTAGCGGGAATCCGAACCCTCAATGCGCCGACCACGGCATCCCGGAGACATCCGCATGCAGCTGTCCTCAAAAGGGCTGATGGCGCCGTCTCTGTCCCGGTCGCAAAATTTTGTGTGCTTCATGTGCCTCTGTGGTTCGAAAATGGTTGCCCTGATCAGATAGCATCGATGATAGCCTGGCAAACCGTCTGAACCTTAACCAAATGTGGGTGTCTGTACATCGAGAGCGGAGTCAAGCTTGTGAAGAACATACGAGCTGTGCTCCAGTCCAATCAAATCTATGGAATGGCAACTTGTGCGGAGAAATCTGGGTCAACTTCCTGACGCCATCTACGCTAGCGGCCGGCGGGATGCCTAAACACGAAAGGGTGTGAACCTGATTATTCGCGTCTCAAGTCTAGGTATTGAAGCAATTCAACCAGGCCGTTGCAAAGGTACTTTTGAGAGCTGTCTTCAGACTTTTGCCTTCTAAAGATATAGGAATGTATTTCTGCTTACCTGCGGAAAAGCCAAGCCCGGTTTTGGGACATTGATAGTGGCATCAACCACACATCTTGTCCATAACTACCCTGACAAAGCTAGCTCCCACGTGTCAACGTACAGTTTCGCGAGTGCAGATCAATTACCTTTTCATCCTCAAAGAACTAACTGAATTCTCTTCGGGGAGACCTGTTAACTTGTTACATAGGTCTTCACTGTTTAGAAGTAGGCCTTGTTCGTTCAAGCCTCAAGATCTTCGAGACTCCGATCATTGACTGCCCGGATTGACGATATTGAGCTTTTGCGTCACGAACATCTGCTTAGTAAAGGACGAGCCTCATACGCCTCCCGAACATTCGGGTCGTTGGGCCTCCGCCATCCTTGTCATACAGTTGCCAAGCGGGGTTTCTCCAAGAACCCGTCGGCGATCCCACATCGGATAGCACTTCACATAGGGCCATGCTCTTATCAGTCAGAAAGGATTTCTGATCAAGGCATTTGATGTTCAGCTATGGACAGATAGAAGTACATGTTTTCTTCGAAAGCTCCTAGTATGGTAATTGCACCCATGCAGCATGCAGTCGCAGAATTGACAGTGAACTAAATTCATAGAGGATGAGTGATTTTTCAGTTGCACGCTTTGTTTAGAGGGCGAGTGTAGTGGCCAAGCTCATAACATAGATATAGATATGGATGACTGTGTCGCTTGTAGCGAAGCACAGCCAGCTGATGTGAAATCGTTCTATCACGGCCTTGTTTTGCATGCAGATTGAAAGATATTGCTGTTTTGGTGTAAGGCTCTATGGCTAATCTTGTTTCGTTGGTCGCGTTGGGGGGCTCTCAGCTATGTTGGTCGGCGCTGCATGTTGGTGTGGCTAGGTAGATAACTCGGTGGCCTACCCAACATAGTCTAGGCAGCATTCAAAGTCGAGGTCAGGAGTTTCCTTCAATCGTTTTCTATGAAACTTCTGGGCTTGGTAGGTATATTCAATACGGAGAGACTTTTCTGACTTCTCTCGTAAACTTCGCTACCCCTCTTTGACTTCTTATGGTCAAAAATATTCAGTTGAAATAGACGACCTCAAAGGACCGTCGATGAGAAACATTGAAGGCTTGTTTCCCCCAAAGACAGAGGTATACAGAGACATTTCATATACAATCAACGTTCCCCTTTGATTAGAGTGGCCTGAAACGATGAGCCTTAAGACTTTCTCCAGCACGACTTACTCCATGAACTGTTCCATGTTGCTACCGATACACAACCTCCATACACTATCACGAACCTACACGATGGCTACGGAGTAAGAGACACCAAAGTTCTTGACGAGCTTTCCGTGTGGACAAATCCGACTCTAACGCAGGAGAATTACTACAACTAATTTGTTAACTATACCACATAATCATTTGGCAATCCACCAGGTTGCTTCGACTATTTCAGCATTTATAACCGTCTGTAGAACGCCTGATATACGAAGTATGGAGGATCCCTCGCCTTGCCTATGTTTCTCACAGTCGTCCTTGACAATGGAATGTATTTCATCTGTGTGCTATGAGTGCTGAAAGCCCATGTTTCGGACTTCAAGATAAGCCCGACGCCAGACTTAATGTCACCACGTCCGTTATCGACTCATAACTCTGGCATGTGGGTATATCCTTAATTGGACTGAATTCTCAAAGATTTGAGTCTCTTTGGCTAAGCGATGCGCCGAACCCGCCCTCTCTGGTGCTAACACCTACAGGTCTACTGGGCCATGGCAATCAACTCCATTGGTCGTACATCTCATGCTTGGTAATGACACTATTCATTCATGCTGCCGGTTACATAATCCTTCGTCGAAACGAAGTCTTGGCTGAGAATCGCTTATTTCAGTTTGTCACCGCAACCAGCTCCAGCAGCGTCCTTGGAGGCTTAAGCTAGACCTCTTCCTCTGATGGTAGAGAGAATATCTTGCGGGACCTGAAGAACATTAAGTTACGCTTTGGTTTTGCTCGTGTCGGTAAAATGTCCGAATCACAATATTCCACCGGTCGCTTCACTGTCCTGGGTGACCTAGACGAGATTGAGCCGACGACGTGCCGGTAGATAATTGCATGTGGTGCAAGACTGCCAATTAGTTGCTGAGGAATTCAGTTTTCATGTGACAGCACTTGCTCTTTGGATACCTTCACATGTTCGATGTTTGGATAAGATGATAACAGCGGGTTCTAGGTTTGTTGAGATGCTACCTAAGTCTTCGTGTTAGATACCCGACACCTTTATCGGACAGCCGGAGTACTACGCGGCTTACAGACTTGTGATGGTGACTTCCATCATTGAATCCACAAGTGCATGTGATTTCGGGTGTTACTTTCATGGCATTTGAACCAATAACCCCCTGGGTCCTGCGAAGGTAACACTAACAGGATGGCAGTCTCACTGAGCACCGTAGTCGGCGGTTTTGTCGCCGTAACTTTCCGATTCTTATCAAGACGAGGCCAGACCTCAAGAAGATTTGACGAACACGTGTGGAAAGCCGGACACCCGAACATCTATCGGGATGGGAACGGGACGTGACGTTGACGGGAGCTTAACTCAAATCATGTTTGAGCCTCAAGATCACATGTAAGAGGCCCGAAACTGTTGAGAACCATGAGCTTGATCAATCACACTTCAGAATGTGAGAGTAAGAAACCAGAATTGAATCCAGAGCCGCATATCCTTTCAATCACAAGCCAAATTCTCGTGGTCTGACGTCTTCCGTGTCATCTCTGATAGGCAACGACACGCGGAAATATGCTTTGCAGATGCAGAATCTAGATGATTGCGTAATCTTTCAGTTGAGGCCTACAATGCGCTGTCAGTCGGGCAGTTCCACGGTAAGTAGTCCCGGATCATGTTGTGCTGCGACTTCATGTACTGAGTTTCGACCCTTGAGTCATTTACGGCTGTACTGACGATAATGAAGAAGCAGTGAATGCAATACTTAACAGGTGCAAATTGCCACACTCTAGGTAGGTAGTTATGTTCGTCGTACGCAGCGCTCCTGCTTTAGAAACCTACCCGACTAAATTCACAACAACAATTTCAAGCCCTGTATCGTAATGACGATGGCTGTCGCAAGCCCTATCAGACCTACGCCTCCTTCCATGGGTCTTCGCTCTCAGCGATCCACCCATCGCCTTAACCAGATTGAGAAAATCCGCGCCAACGGCATCGGCGATCTGGTTGACCTGCCACAGCTGGTGGTTTGTGGAGATCAGTCGGCCGGCAAAAGTTCTGTTCTTGAGGGCATCACTGGTATTCCTTTCCCTCGTCAGGAGGGTCTTTGCACTCGCTTCCCCACTGAGATTACGCTTCGTCATTCCAATGGCGCTTTCCGCTGTACAGCAACCATCAGGCCTCATGCTGGCCGGCCCGCTGGGACTTCTCAGATTCTCCGCGGCTACCAGCGTGAGATGAAGGAGGATCTATCAGATCTTCCAACCGCCATCGAGGAGGTCTCAAAGCTCATGGGAATCCGCGGGTTTACTTCCTCCAATGACGACTCTGCTTTTGCCTCAGATGCTCTCCGGATTGAGATCACCGGGCCTATCGGACTGCAACTCAGCGTAGTTGATCTCCCTGGTCTTATTTCCGTTGCGAATGAGGAGCAGTCGGAGGCAGACGTCGAAGCGGTCCACAGTATGGTCCGCCGCTACCTTCAAAGTACCCGAACAATTATCCTAGCTGTCGTCCAAGCCGGCAACGACGTCGCAAATCAGGGCATCATCAAGATCGCCCGAGAGTATGACTTGGATGGTCAGCGTACTGTCGGCATCATCACCAAACCTGACCTCATCAACGCCGGCACAGAAGCGAAACTAGCCAACATCGCCAAGAACAAGGATTCAATCAAGCTTAAGCTTGGCTTTTTCCTCCTCAAGAACCCTAGCCCTGTCGAGATGAAGGCTGGAGGAGATGCTGCTACCCGCTCCAAACGGGAGATGGAATTCTTCTCTTCCGGTGCCTGGAAGACTCAGAACCTCGACATGAGCCGTATCGGTGTTGACAACCTCAAGTCTTACCTCCAGGACCTCTTAGATGCTCATCTTGAAAGAGAGCTTCCCAAGGTCAGGGACGAAATCAGACGGGTGCTCGGTTCAACAGAGGATGATCTCAAGTCTATGGGCCCTGAGAGACGGTCGCTCAACGACATTCGTTCCTTCATGACCAACCTCAGCATGCGCTACTACCAGCTCGCCGAGGCTGCCTTGGCTGGCAACTACCACAGCACCGACCAACAATTCTTCTCCAAAGACAGTGGCACCCGTCTTCGCGCCATCGTCCATCAGGAGAACGGTAACTTTTCAGCGGAGATTCGCGACCATGGCCACAAGAGGCAGATGGCAGATGAAGCCCGCCCCAAGAAGTCTGGAACATCTACACCTGACGGACTGCAGATCTTTGTCACCAAGGAGGACATGATTGATTGGATTCACACGGTAAGTCAACATGCTTGGTCTGGCAAACTAGTCATGCTTGAGCTAACTTCAATAGACCTACCTTCAAACCAGGGGTCGCGAGCTGCCCGGGAATTACAATCACGTACTTCTCGCTGAGCTATTTCATGAGCAATCCAGCCCGTGGCGTGATATTGCCGAGCGGCACGTTTCCACCGTTTTTGACCGGGTCTCCAAGTGGGTTCACCAGGCCATCAACCGCCTCTTTCACGAGGAACACCTCCGCAGGGACATCGACGCTATTTGCCAACGGAAGCTTGAAAACTCTCGCGAGAAAGCCTTTGAGGAGCTCAACAAGATTATTGCTGACGAGGAGCGCCATCCCATCACGTACAATCATTACTATACGGACAACATACAGCAGGCGCGCAGCGACTCGCAAAAGTCGGCTTTCCAGAGCGCTCTAACATCGACCCTAAACAATGGTTGGTCTGGCAAGATGAACAGTATCGCGGAAGCCTCCCAGATGGAGAAGTTCTTGGATTGTCTGCAACCGAAGATCTGTGTGGATATGGACGAACAGGCCTGCGAGGAGGCGCTCGCGGGCTTGAATGCGTACTATAAGGTTTGTGGGTCCCTACTTCACTTCGTAGTGGTGTGGTTCCTTCTAACTGGCACTTAAGGTCGCTATGAAGACTTTCGTCGACAACATATGCAGACAGGTTGTTGAGCGGCACATCTTGTCTCCCTTGCCAGAAATCTTTTGGCCAGCCACTGTTTCCCAGCTATCTGACGACGAGCTCGTGAGGATCGGCACCGAGCCTGAGAAGGAGATTGCTCGGCGACAGAAGCTCAGTGCCTCTGCTCAAGGACTGCGTAGTAGCCTGGTTGACTTGCAGAGCATCTCAGGTTAGCTCGTGTCTGACATAGGCGTGCTTCGTAAGAAGGTGGTCTAGGTAGACTGAGTGCTTGCTGATTCCTGCAGGTGGTTCTTTTGCTAGACGTGCTAACAAACTACTGTTGGTACTACTGGGAATAGATGCTGCACTGACTCTTGTTTTGTTTTATGTTTGGCTGGTAACGGGCGGGCTTAGAAAATTGGAGGTGGCGTTACAAATATGGAAGGCTCTGGTTCAGATTCGCTCACTCGCTCGGGAAGATAGAGCTACTGTCGGACGCATAGAATGTAGATGGTCCACGTAGATTTAATCACATTCGTTTGCTAGATCTTGTTTCCTCAACCGCGACCGATGCATCAGATATGTACGCTGTGCAGAATTTCAACTGGAAGGAATCTGACGATGATATCTTATGACAACCCATCGATTGCAATTGTCTTTGGCAACTTGAAGTCCCATGACCTCAAAGATGGCAGAAGGCTAGTACCAATTGCCTCTCATCTTCATACACGTTGAACTCCAAGATCCCCTGTAATTGAGTACAATGCCTCCTACTCATCATAAGAGCGACCTGTGATGACTCTTGTGGGGAGATCTTTACTAACAAGGATGCTGTTGAGGTCGTGGAGGTGGTTTATGGTCTCGTGACGTGCCCATGTAAAGACTCCATAGCTGGCCACCGCTTTTGCAGATTTCGTAACTCGGTAAACAACCCCTTCTTTCGGCGCGGAGTCGCGAGCCCTTGATGTTGGAGTAGAGCCATTTCGTGATGCTCACAGAAATTGTGGCATGGGATGGACCCCCACGGGCGAGTTGCATACGACACGAGGTTGTGGATAGTCTACAGACAGCTGCTGGGCTGCATATCAACACCTAAGGATCAGGAACGTCAGTCTGGAGAGCATCCTTTAACAAGAATGCAAGAACTCTTGTCCGCATGGGTTTCTAGACCACTGGATGACAAGCTCAACGACTCGAATGTCAGTGGTCAGACATTCTGCGCCCAGCCGATCTCACCCAGCATCACAGTTTTGCTGGTCCTCCGACTTTTCTTGGCGCTCGGTTGCCCACATGAGCTCCCTGCAAGCCGTTACACCGTACGTAAGTAACAAATATCCGACCAGGGTGGCTGGCATCTCCCGACCGGCACCGGACAAGTGGCGAGCATCAACGGCGCCCTACAACAAACAAAAGGGCGCATCACACCTTGTGATAACGTGATCAGAGAGGCCGCTTTGCTACGGCTACGGCTGGCTGCTAGCGGAAAGGCAGAGGAACTGGGCGGAGGTGTGTAGAAAATCAGGAGCTCCGGCGCACCACGGCCAAGACATTTTACTACCAAATTTTTCCTCCTCCCCACCCCCATGTCCAAATTTCGGAGCCCTCCCCCGACCCTCGTCCGCCCAGTTCCCGCCGAGCCTCTCGGCAATTCTCGGCGCGGCACGGCATCCGCCATGGCGGGCCAATAGGCGGACGTCCCCCTCGCGCCAACGTCGTCCCAGAGTCATGTCTTACGCTGCCAAATGGGCATATCTTCTTGGTCTTCTTGGTAACGAGCCTTGGTGATTCTTGGATGATAATCCTCTTCAGTCAAAACCAGGTCAGCAACCCGAGGGAAGCTTCTGGCTGGCTGGCACTTTTGCTGGTTGCCCAGTAGTCATTGTCAGCTGTCAATATCGGGAGACGTGAGGAGACGGATGCATGGTCTACTGTGGGTTTTGTGGAATCAACCTCCCTTCCTTACCCCAGATGGGGAATGGATTGAAGCTTTTTGCAGGAGATGTTTTCCAGAACATTGATCATTCGAGAACCGCGTTCATACAATCGGTGAGCCGCGATGGCCTGTCAAAGCTGCAACGTTGCGACGCGGTAGATGAGGCTCTTCGCCTCGGGCGCGCTTAACCCACACAGGCCTCGTGCATCTAGTTGAAGACGGCAGATACGACCCGTTAACGGTCTCTGGGGCGGAATGCCACCGTGAAAGCCCCCGTCGTCACCGCCAAGTAGACAATCAGGCCAAGGCCAATACCCAGACAAACACCCCGACGCGACGAGCTGACTCGACCAGTCAGTTTCAATGACATTATCTCTTGGTCATCTGTTGGATTTCGCCTCCTCCCTTTCAAGGTGTTAGTTTACGAGATATGCAGCCGTCGTTTCTTGATTTTACTGTATTGAGTGTCACTGGTAGCCTTCTGTCGCCAACCGGTGAGTCTCATCTTTTCACATACCAGGCTCGGTCTGATTTCGCCCTGTGTCTCTCCACACTGACTTGCTCATCCCACGTATCTTTGCCGAGACCTGTCCCCAATCCGGACTCATGGATCACCCAAGAGTCCAAGACCACCCCAAGTCGCCCGGCCCTGCATCGAACGCGACTGGTGGGTAACGCGGGGATGGAATGGATCCTCTTACACCTTCCTTTCGCGTGAAAGATGCCAACTACTGTGCCCTCTCTCAGCTGCGATTCCCTCTCTTGGCGGTAGAGATATGCCACCCTATCTCGGTCAAATTCTGCCCTGTAGGCTGTCTTCCTTCTCGTTCGCCAGAAAGCCTAGCCCACCCATCGGTCGCACACGCGAGCATCGGGTCTTCTTGCTGAGGGGCCACACGTTCTCGAAGATGTATCCAAATCTGGTCCTTTCCACCGCTCGCAGCCGGCCCGGTCCCAGCTCGCCACGCTGATAGACAAGACTCCCACCTCCTCTTCCTCTTGTTCGGGACCAACGTGCCCCACGAGCTGGGTTTTCTCGAGTATATATCCCGCCCTCGACTGCTGATCAGGGTCTCGAGAACGCTTCCATTTGCTTCTTGTCCTTCCCCTCTCCTAGCGTGGCAGCGACCTTGTTACGGCTCATCTCGCAAGTCTTTCGCCCTCCATCACTGATAGAGTCTATCGTCTCTGAATCCGCGGAAAGCATACCGAGATGGAGAAGACAGAGATGGGCACGGCTGACAAGTCGGTCCCGGAGAACTCCTCCATGGACCAGGTCCAGCAGCAGACCTCCGTCGCCTCGGGGGAGTCTGTGCACAAGAAGACCCCTTGGTGGCATCCGGTCGTCGAACCTGGCTCCGCAGTCCAGATCATCATCGCCGCCGCCATCGCTGTTGGCATCGGTTTGGGTGTGAAGTCGGCTCATCCCAATATCCCGTCCGCCGCCACAACTATCCTCATCATTCCTGGTAACCTCTGGCTGAGGGCTCTAAAGGCTGTCGGTAGGTCACTCCGTGCAACGCCGGTTGTATCCAATCTATGGCTGTACTGCGAGCTGTTCCAGAGCTAGCGGCTGACACGACTATAGTTCTGCCTCTCATCGTAACGGCCATGATTCTTGCGGTCCAGAAGCTTAAGGAAATTAGCCACGGCGGAGCGAAGCTGGCGAAATGGACCATCGGCTACTACGTCATCACGACCATCGTCGCCATCGTCCACTCAATCATCATGACCTCTCAAGTCTGGGCTCGCCTGATGACGGTTGCCTCGGCTGAGTCCATCAATGTCGACGGCATGTCCGACAAAGACAAGGAATCATTCGAGAATAACCAAGAGCAAGATATCCCGGCCACTGTAACTGAGTTGTTCAACTCCCTTATTCCCGCGAACGTTGTCAATGCCTTGGCATCGGATCATCTCCTCGCCGTCCTCGTCACGGCGGTGGTTGTTGGATATCTTCTGGATGACCGCGGCGGAAAGTCGTCGATTCTAAAGGCGTGCCGTGAGATCGAAACGTTGATTATGGTTATCATCACATTCCTGATCAAGTTGGCACCCATTGGAGTTTTCTGTATGCATTCTTAATCACGTTCCATTTCAGGAGCCTCGCGAGAAAGGATGACTAACCTGGTCTCTAGTTCTTATCCTTCCCAACATGTTCAAGCTTGACATCAATGATATCGGCGTCAACCTGGGAGTTCTGATGGGCGGTGCAATCGGCTCCATGTTTATGCATCTCTTCATAGTGCTGCCCCTCATCTTCTTCGCTTTCACGCGCCAGAACCCATACAAGCTGTGGCTCTCTTGCTCGCCCGCATGGTTGACCGCCTGGGGAACCGCATCGTCGGCTGCCACCCTTTCCGTCACCATGAAGTGCACCCGTGAGACGCTCAAGGTATGTCCAATTTCCAATGCTTTTGGCAGCTTACCTCAACTGACATCTCTCAGGTTCCCAACACCATTACCAAGTTTGCGGTCCCTCTTGGCTGCCTCGTGAACATGGACGGAACAGCGATCTATTTCCCCATTGTCGTCGTGTTTCTCGCACAGACACAGGGCCATGTCCTCAATGCCGCAGACTACATCATCATTCTCTTGCTTTCGACCCTGGCGTCCATCGGAACCACCCCAATTCCCAGCTCTTCCCTCGTCCTGACCGTCATGATCTCCTCGAGTGTCGGCATCCCGCCAAGCGGCATGTTTGGCGTAGTAGTAGCCGTGGACTGGCTTATTGATAGGTTCAGGACTGCAACCAATGTCAGCGGTGACCTCTTCGCTGCCGTGATCGTCCAGAAGATGACTGGTATCACTGATCCCGAAGATGGATCCGAGGACGAGGTAACGGAGGTCAGGCAGAACGACGAGCGCGTATAAGTCATTCGTTCGGAAAGATAGTGCGATAGATAATGCTGTACAAACGGAGCGAATACCATCTTGATCAGATCCTTTGGTCTTATCCCATTCTACTTGATGGTTTCCAGATATGAAATGATCTCTTCGTATGCGGGAGAGGGAAAGCCATTCAACTTATACGCAGTCGAACAACCTTCGGTGACACATAATGCGTCCGGTTTCGCGCGGTCAACAGTCGAAAATCCCGCTTGAGGATCGCTCAAGGGCAAGGACGTCTAGACTGTTCCATTCCTTGATCATTTCGAGCGTATCTCGGCCTTGAGGACGACGGCGTATCGGCCAGTAAACCTTTCGCCGTGCTCAGCGACTTCCGTCAGTGCGGCGAACCATCGTCTAGCCGACATCTAGAGCGGTGAGGTGTTGAGAGCGGTATTCGACAGTTCCCCAAACCAGAATCAGCAGTCCTCTCCTCCCCTTAGTGACTATGTTGTAAAAATACATACCTCGCGGCATAGACCTCAATCACGAATTACTTAGATAATCATCGTTCGCTCGCTGAAGGTCAACACTAAATGTACACCAGACAATTTGAACGCCAGTCTATGCGAACCGTAAGCGCCCCCGTATGGAACAATTTCTCCTAAAAGCCCTGCCGTCCCAACGCCATTCCTTGGAGGCTCATTTTATCCTCGTTCGCTTGACCCTGTGCCAGTACGGCTCCCGATTCTCGCCCTCTGTGGTGACAACCTTCATCCAACCAATCTCAGACTCACCCATGTTTGGTTTGTCCAAAAATGCCTCCTTCACGCCATCTACCAACTCGAGCCGTCTCTTCGACGTGTACTTCGGGGTCTTCGGCCCAATGCGTGCTCGATTGTCGCTTAGCGCTATACGTCGATCAGGCCTTTCTTGAGGGGTAGCCTCTGGGTGCCTCCACGAAAGCCGTAGTCCCTCCGGCTGAATGATGTTCCACAAGTCGCAGTCCTCATCGCCCTCGAACCAGGTTTTCCATGGGGGCCATATTCCTCCGCTCAGGTTTGTCATCAACTCGTACGGGCTTTGAAGTAGTAGTAGAGGATTGTTCCAGGGCGACAACGTCTGCGAGATTACCGGGGGATCAAACACCGTCGACGCTGGGTGGAGGCGGAGGCCCGGCCGGAGCTGCGCGTCGTCCCAGTCGCCCGTCCAGCCCGTGTTGTTTGCGTTACGCTGGAACCCGGGCCACCAGGGCATGGGCGAGTGGCGGTCCCATTTGTCAAACGCCGTGGTGTCGAGGTATCCCGGGAGATCACCTCCTTCAAATTCTTCCTGTTCATCGATCGTTGATACAACGCGAATCACTGGCTGGAAGTACCTCAAGCACGAATCCGTGACCAAAAGAATCTGTTTCCTGCTCCGAAACTCGAAGGTGGGATCGGCCCCCTCAGGTGTTTCGCCATACACCCTCATCTCATATGCAAAATCCGCGCGACTGGCTTGTGTATCAATGGTCTCACTAGTATTACGATCTCTCAGCCTGAGCGTGTCGCGTTTGGGCCGAGTGAACGTGATGATCTCCGTATGGAAGAAGTCCGCCAACATGTGCAACATCTCGTGGTAGCCGGCCTCCTTGGGCATTCCGGCATCTGACCTGTTGCTGCAAAGGGCTCGGAACATGCTCAACTTGCCCCAAATCTCTTCGTCGTCTGGGTCGGCGCATCTGGCCGAGTCGGCGAGAAGTTGGCTGTACATGCGGAAGCGTTTGGCGCGGCGGAAACGGTGAGAATTGCCCGCGTCATTGGGGTTCTGGTTATACACCATTTCTTTAAACCAATCTGCGGCAAGACATTTAATGTTCTTCGCCTTCGTGGGATTGTGCTCGACCAGCACCCTGCGAGTTCCTCTCATCGTTAGTATCGGTATCTCATGCAAGTGACGGGTCGGAAAGAGATTCAACTTACGCCAGCGCATACCACAAGCTATCCTCGTTTTTCGGCGTGGGGCCTGCCCAAAACTTGTACTCCATATTCCCCTTCAAAACATCAGGCTTGTCCTCGGGATGCATGAAATGCGGCTTGGCCTCGAATCCGTAGCAAGCCAAGTCGTCAAAAATGTCCTCGTCCTCACGATCCTGCGCATCCGCAACCATGTGATATGTCGGCTGCCACGTCTTTCCCTTCCTAAGCCGGTCGCGCGCCAGCTGTGCCACATCTGCATGCGCGTAATGGGCGTTGAACTGGTTTACGCTCAGGGGAACTTCAACATTTTGTGACCAATTAGCCGAGGTGATGTTTTTTGGCAAGTCCCAATTTGTGTATATAATATTGTTAGCGGTTTGCCACGGCTGGATCTGGACCCTGGTATCGGGTGACCAACTCGGGTGACCCGGGCGTCGGATACCAGCTATCGTGTGTATGGCTGAAAGGACGCGCTTGTTTGCCTCGATGACACGTTTCTGAGGGACGGAGCCCGGGATGATATCTATCTCGTCCACATTGTCTTTGTCACGCCATATGCGGCGGAGGACCAGATTGCACCGGTGGGTGAACAGTCGGAACCCCGGGCGGTAGCCAATCGGGCGGGCCGTTGTTGAGTGAAGGCCTAGAATTCTGTAAGCCAGCTGGACGTCGCCGTTGTCGGGCTTGCATCCTAGGATCTCCGCGACTGTGGGAAGCCTGGGTCGGATCCAACGTGCCCCTGGTGGGTTCGGGAAGTTGACGGCGTTGGCCATTTTGGAATGCTTGAAACCTTTGGGATGGTAATAGAGATTTGGATAAGTTGTTGTTCAGGGGTGGAAATGCCGAATTCATCAAGAAACGTAGTCTTCATCCTGTATCTTTTATGTTTCCCATCTTCATCGAATGGTACATCAAGAAAACAGTTTTCTGGACACTGTTGATGGCCATTGTCTACTGGCTGGGGATTGTTCACTTTGTACAGTGCAGGTTGTAAAAGAGCTTCATAACTGCAACACAATGAATACTTTTGTCATTGTCATGTCAAACTCAACGATGTTCAACTGGGCTTTATTGAGGGAAGAACCAACTCCGATGCCCATTGTTTATCAGAACAAGGCACCATAACCATAGCCTTTGTTAATGTCTACTTTGTCTTTAATGAAAATTCACAAAATGCGTGGTCGTGACATGGCAAGCTGTTGAGGCACAAGGTTTTCACATGCTATCAACCCAGAGTTGATACATCACACGCAGAGAAAAAAGGCATCAAATAATAGTGCAACCAATGATATATTTCTCTAGAAGGCGCCTCTATCCCAGGCACGCCATGCAAACTGACTCGGGAAAAAAAGAACGAAACCACAGGCCCGCACAATCTTTCTCTGCGCTGTTCACCAACCGCTTCTAAGAAAAAAACCACAGCCCAAAACAAAATTCTCCCAGGGGCGGTGCTCCCATACTCCATGACAGTCTTTCGCAAAGCGCGGGTATGAACGGGGGGTAAGCACCAAAAGCAGAACGCAAAAAGAGAAAGACCTAGCAGTAAACATAAAGAACCCCCCAATGTCTCCATCCCAATCCCATTCCTTTGTTGTTTTCCTCTGTCGTATGAATGCATGGAAGAAAAGAGGTACCAGTACATGATATAAACCAAAAGAACTCCGGGAAGCATCATGATGACGCCGGCTACGAAACCCCAGAACGAGGCAACTCCCTACGAATTGAAGATGCTGCCTCTTGTTGGGTCGCCTACCGCCGCTTCGTCGGGCTCACTCCGCCACTCTCGAAGCTCAGGTCAACGCTCCACAGCGAGTCCCAGACCACGCTCCTCTTCGTCGGGCTCGAACTCTCCCTGCTCATCTGGCGACGGAGTCTCTGAGGGGATCTGGCTTTCTAACCGCCGCGCAAAGAGCGGAACGGATATCAGCGAGGGAGCTGTGATTTTCACGGTCCAACGAGGGAATCAATCATGTTTCGTACCTCGGGCGACCTGGGCCTCTCCTCGGACGGGCCCTCGGTCTGCGGCGAGCTGGCTGAAGCCTGCCCTTGGTCTTGTCCATTTGACGACGGTCCTGCCAGTCCCCCTTGCGGCGGGCTGGTGCCCGTGGGTGTCTCCGGCGCCACGGCACGGAGAGAGTTGGTCTCGCTGCCCAGCGCGTTACCCTTGAGCAACGCAGCTCCCCCGGCGCCGACAGCGAAGGGGATGGCCTTTTTCGAGTTAGAGCTGCTCCGACGACTCTCCAGACTCCTGTTAAGCGCCTTGCTGACACCCTCAATACTATTGACGCTGATTCGGTGCTTGTCCTTGCCGTTCGCCTGTGCGTGGGTGTGCATGTCGGCCATGGCCTCAACGTTGTTCGTCGCTATCGTCGACTTGCCTAGACCAGGCGTCGCAGGCGCACCCGGCTTGTCTTCGTGAGCGTCGATGAGATACCACCTCAAGCCGTCCGACAGCTGGAATGGGTTGTCGTCATCTTCGCCGTTGACGGAGTCGGTCTCGGCCGGCCTCGTCAAGCTCTTGGAGAGATCCACGACGCGTTCTTGGATGCGCGTGATGCGAGCGACGAGCCACTCGCGAGAGCGAAGTCGGTGGGCGTCGGTCTCGCGCAGGAAGTAGTGGGGGAAGCCGACGTTGAAAGCGGCCCAGGCGCCGGCGGTCTGGTTCCTAGTAGGCAGGAAGAGAGCAAGATCGCCTTCTTTGAAGTGCTTAAATGCAATCTTCTCGTGAGAATCCCTTTGCAGCGTGTGTGCCTTCTCTCTGTAGGCACGCGCGTCGCGCTGGAGCTTACGAGCGAGATGCTCAACGTCCTTGACACGTCTGTAAACTGTCTCAGCGAACAAGTCCATGTCGAAGCTACCCAGTTTGGTCATGAAGGCCTCGTATTTCTCGGACTCAACATCGGCATCGCTGCCGTTCATCCAGTACAACAGGTCCAGGTCGGTGCTATCGGCCAGGGTGCGACTGGTGAGCATGCCAGAGCGGCGTATCGTAGACTGGCTTGGGTCGGAGGAGTCGTTGGCGTTGTGGATCTGGCTCATGGTTCCCCTCTCAGATCTCGGGACCTTCTGGATAGTCATTGTAGATTCTTGACGGGTGACGGAGAACCCAAGTCGCTCCAGCAGTCGACACAGGCGATCGTTGTGAGAGTACAGACGCTGCGTCAAGTCCTTGGTCTTTTCTGACCGGGTGTCGAAGTGGCCAGTGACCGTCGTAAGCTTAGCCTGGGAGGCCTGCAGCTTCTCCTTGTAGAGACGCAACTCCTCTTCCAGGCTTCCCACTTGAGACTGTCTGGAAGCCAGCTCCTCCTTGATTGAGGTGATGCGCTCTTCTTCCTCGTCAAGCTTCTTCCGCAGACTCTCTGAGCCTGTCTCGCCGTCGGCAATCTTGGCTCGCAGCTGGTCAAGCTGCTCTCGGCTCTCGGCGGCCTCTTGCTCAAGGGCAGCCACTCTGGCTTTCTCCCCATCCAAGTTCTCCTTGAGATGTCTTGAGGCCTCTTCCTCGGCGGCGAGCTTATCCTTAGTCTCGGTCATCTCCATCTTCAGACTCTTGACATGCTCTTCGGCCTGTTCGAGGTCGGCCTTCAGGATTGACTTGTCGTTGTCCAGGGTCTTCAACTTGGCAGCAACATCAGTAGCCTTATACACTAGTGCTTCGATCAGATCATTGAGGTCTTCGGTGGTATCGTCGTTCGGCGAGAGTTGATCGTGGATGTCGCGAAGAGCCTTAAGCTGCGTGTCGACCGTCTCTTGAGCCGAGCTCAGGCTCTTGGTCAGCTTCTTGGCTTCGTCGTTCGCTGTCTGAAGCTGCTTTTCGAGAGCCTCGTTCTGCTCCCTTTGCAGACGCGCCTCATTGCGGAGGAAGTCAACCTGGCCCTGGGTCTTGAGGGAGTCATCCTTCTGATCTTTCTGCAGGCGATCGATCTCGGCCTCCATTTCGTGCATCCGCTCGATGTAGGTGGCCTTCTCGTTCTCCCTAGACTCGCCAAAATTCTCGATGTCGTCCTCGGTCTCCTCAAGGCGCGCCTTAAGTCCCTTGATCTCGTTTTCAAACGACTTCCTCTCTATGACGAACTCCTTCTGCAACGCCTCCATGTTCTCGAGTAGCTCCTTTTTAGTGGCGTTGGCTTCCTCCATCTGAGCCCTAGCCGCCTCCACCTGGGATTTTGCCTCGTCAACCCGACCCAAGACTTCATTGTGCTCCGTCGTCCGGGCAGTGAGATCCTTCTCGAAGGCGGCTGCCTTCTCCTTCTCCGCATTGAGCTCATTCTCGAGCTGCTGAATCTTCTGCAGAAGGGCCTCAGAATTGCTAGCTGCGCGGCGGCTGTCTTCCGGTGGCACAGATCTGACAGAGTTGGTGGAATCGTTCCTCTCATGACCGAACAATCCACCGATGCCAGGGCGAGAGGAGACTTGGCTCTGCCTGTGAAGTAAGTCCTCTAATCTGCGCACCCGACTTTCTGCCGTCTTGAGCTTGTTCTGGAGTTTAGTGTTGTCGTCTCGAAGCGTATGGTTCAAGTCGTCGTCTCCACGAATCATCAGGCCACTACGTCCGAGGGCAGCCTCGTGGACACTCCCGTTTTTGAATGCCTTCAACCTCTTTGACTGCTGCTTCGTGGGGTTGCTCAGCTCATTGACAAGCTTCGTCACGTCCTCGATGATTGCCACCTCAGCCTGCTGTCTTTGGAGATGTTCCAGGAATTCCTCGAGGTCGCGCTTCACCATGCTCGGCCAAGGCTCCTCCTCCCCCAGCAAGTTGACCTCCAGACCAAGGATGTTGGCTTCCAGGTTGTCGCGGCCATACATGCTGCCCACCATCTTGTGCCACTTCCTTCGTCTCTTCGATTCCTCGTCCTGGAAAAGAGCCATCTCGTTGGCGAGCGTTGATGAGTCCGTCTTGATCTTGTCGGACCACTCCCGGCGGCGGATCGCCTCTGAAGCGAAGGACGCATACATGTAGGGCAGCTGGTTGATGAGCCGCAGGTAGTCGAACGTCGTCATGACATCCTCAGCCTGGTTCAGAACTGTAATCTGATTCTTGACACTGCTATGCATCGATGTAATCTCAGTGATGTTCCGCATAAAGTCGATCGAATCCGCTGCGATGGTGTTGCGCGCCTCTGTGGCGTAGTGCAGCATGTCAGCCATCTCCGCAGCGCGCTTCTTCAAGCTCGGTATCAAACGCGACGTGTGGTTCTCTGCCGTCCGCGAGGCCTGCAGGACATTTGCCTGGGTGTCGGCGTACTCCAGCATCGTGCTGTAGTCCGTTTCTATCTTCTTGGCCACAGCCTCAATATCCTGAAGCAGTTGCGCCGCCTCCCCGCTTCGAGCCAAGGAAGACCGGCCAACAAGGTTGTCAAACTCCCCAAAGAGCCGCTCCACCCCGGCGTACATCTTTTCGGCCGTCTTGTCCAGATCTGCCGCCTTGGCGCTGAACTTCTTCAGCAATGTCGGCGCCAGCTTGCCCGACTTCCTTGCCGTGTCGAGATCGATCAGGTCCTCGAGCGTGGCCTGCTTCTTCTTGAGGTCGCGCGAGGTCATGAAGCGCACCATTGCGGCCGAGATGGGCACGCTGCGCGCCACCTCCAGACACCGCTCCCAGCTCTCCGCCAGCTGCTCGAACTCGCCCATCGACGGCTCCACCCACTTCTTGAGCTCCGTGTACTTCGGGTCGATCTGCTTGACACTAATCTCGAGATTGGTCACCGCCGCGTCAAGGCACTTGATCATGACATCCATCTCGCCATAGCGGTCCTGCACATCTGCGGCCAGGCGC